ACCAACTGGAGAATCAAATCTCATTTTCCACAGTGTTCTAAACTAACTGTCTGGTCCTGCCAGTCTCTGCCATTAAGATATATCTTGGGTTGTTGTGAGTTTTCCGGGCTATATAGCCATGTTCTAGAAGCATTCCCTCCTGACGTTTTGCCCACTTCTATGGCAGGCATCCTCAGAGGTTGTGAGGTGTGTTGGAAACTAAGTAAGTGAAGTTTATATATCTGTGGAATAATGTCCAGGGTGGGAGAAAGAACTCTTGTCTGATGGAGCTATGTTTGAATGTTTCAATTGTCCACCTTGATTAGCATTTAATGACCTTGCAGCTTCAAAGCCAGATTTTGTTAATTCTCATGGTTTCTTCCTTTCTGTTGAAATTGTCCACATGCTTGTGGATTTCAATGGCTTCTCTGTGTAGGGAGGTTTAATCAGATGTCTTCCCCCTTCAACCTCAACCAAAATACCAACCTTCCCAAAGGCATCACCTCGATTTACATCCTTGCTTGCTTGGTGCACCTTGATGCACGAGACAGTCTGATAGATTTGGCACAAGATTTCTATGGCAGGCATCCTCAGAAGTTGTGAGGTCTGTTGGAAACTAGAAAAATGGGGTTTATATATCTGTGGAATGTCCACAGATATATAAAATTGCTTTGAATGCAATTTTCCTGCTTCTTGGCAGCAGGATGGACTGGATGGCCCATGAGGTCTCTTTCAACTATGATTCTATGGTCCAGGATGAGAGAAAGAACTCTTGTCTGTTGGAGGTAGGTATGAATGTTAGCATTACAATTAGTTAGCATTAGAATGGTGCTACGCCACTGGAGAAATTATACTGTTTAGCTAACATTGCACCACCTGACATCCATCGGGAAGTAGCAGCCAATAATGAAAGGACCAAGGCTGTGACATCTCCGGCCCATCCCCTGTTCAGATATCAACCAGCACGCTGATGCCTTAAATCAAGAAATAGTTTTCTAAGATCTACAGAGATACTCACAGGAACACCTCAGCAAGTGATAGTCCAAAAGTGGCAGGCTAAAACCCAGAACCTCAACCCATGGCTGGTACCAGATGAGAGACTCCCCTCTGGGCACACAGAAGACTGGGCCATTTGGAAGGCATTGAACAGACTGCGCTCTGGCACCATGAGATGCAGAGCCAACCTTCAGAAATGGGTATACAAAGTGGAGTCCACGACATGCGAGTGTGGAGAAGAGCAAACCATAGACCACCTTTGTATTTTCAAATACATTACAGCTGTACCCTTGGTTTGCTTCTGATGCGATAAATAAATAAATCTGTAGGGGATTTAGATTTGGGATTTGGGGGAGCCAAGACTCTATGGTTCCTTGCCAAGAAGGGGTTTAGATTTGGGTTACATTATGATTCATAACAGTAGCAAAATTACAGTTATGAAGTAGCAACAAAATAATGTTATGGTTGGGGGTCACCACAACTGAGGAACTATTAAGGGGCCGCAGCATTAGGAAGGTTGAGAAACACTGTGCTAAAGGCTCACCTTCAATGTTGCTGATCCATGCCAGACAAACTGCTGGCCTTTCAACAGTAGCTTAGCCAGGTCAGACAGATTGCCATCCATGACAGTTCCCTTGCTGGAGGAAGTTTGTGTTGGAGGTCTCCAGAATGCCTGGGTTCTTTCCAGGAGTGGGTTTAGGTTAAGGACAACCAGAATGCCTGTGTTCATCTCTGAGAGAGTGTTTAAGCAGAGAGGAGCCAAACATTTTCAGGATGCTGTTTTTGTGTTGAGGAGTGGGTAATCAGAATTTCTTTCTGGGAGAAGAGTGTAGGTTGTTCAGCGGGAGAACCATGACTTAGAACAAGGGTCCTCAAACTAAGGCCTGAGGGCCGGATGCGGCCCTCCAAGGTCATTTATCCGGCCCTCGATCAGGGTCAACCTAAGTCTGAAACAACTTGAAAGCACACAGCAACAATCCTATCTCATCAGCCAAAAGGAGGCCCACACTTCCCATTGAAATACTATTAAGTTTATATTTGTTAAAATTGTTCTTCATTTCAATTTTTGTATTGTTTTTAAGTGTTACTTGCACTACAAATAAGGTATGTGCAGTGTGCATAGGAATTCATTCATTTTTTTTTTCTTCAAATTATAATCCGGGCCTCCAACAGTTGAGGGACTGTGACCTGGCCCTCTGTTTAAAAAGTTTGAGAACCCCTGACTTAGAAGGATAGTTTCAGACCTGTGTACCTTTGTGTAATGCCTTTCCCTTCCTTTAAGGGCTGTGCATGTTGGATTTCTAGCTGTCATACTAAAACCTAAAGAGGGGAAAGAGAAGGTAGAACGACGAAACTCAATCAAGCTTTTGCCAGAAATTGAACCCGAGGTTTGCTAGGCATGTGTTCTCTCATCGTACAGTTGCTTTCCCCATTGAAATGGTTTCATTTGGAACTATGGAACAAAAGCCAGGATTTGGCAAGGTGGAGTGTACAGAGCGTTCTGAGGCCGTCAGAGCTCCTGGGCTTTTTTTCTGCAGTGTTTGTAGAAGGCAGCTGAGATTCCCCTTGCAATAAGCCAGGTGTTTCCCCAAGTTAATGAAGAAATTAATGTTTAATTGTGCAATTAAATCCACAGACACACACCTCACATATGCCCAATTATAATATTAGGCAACATGCTTGCTAACCATATTCAGATAGGCTGGTATAAGAGAGAGGATAATCTTTTGAGATTCTCCAAGCCAATGCAAGGTTACCTAAAGATTAGTTAATTTACATTTAGTTTATTTAAAGCGTTAATAGTCTTTCAGTGCAGCCTTATGAAGAATGAGACAACAAAGAAAAGCACAGAGGCATCTATGTGTATGTAAAGTAGAGGAGGCTTAATGAAGTCTCTGTAAAGCTAAGACTTGGCTAAAACAATTTTTTTAAGAAAATTTGACTAAAGGAACCGATATCAGGATGGTCTGGAATGCTAGTTAAGCCTTCATGAGAAGTTTTTCTTTATACAACAAAAGAATAATGATAATAATAAGAGGAAGGAGGAGGAGACAGAGGGCCTGATTCTGGCAGCCCAAGAACAAGCCATTAGAATAAATGCCATCAAAGCCAGATTTGAAAAGTCAGCAACAGGTCCCAAGGAAGCAGATGAAACAATAGATCACATCCTCAGCTATGCAAGAAGATCGCGCAGACAGACTACAAGCAGAGGCATAACACCGTTGCTCAGATGATTCATTGGAACTTGTGCCATAAATACCATCTGTCTGCGACAAAGAACTGGTGGGATCACAAGCTGGAAAAAGCTAAAGAGAATGAACATGTCAAGCTACTCTGGGACTTCCGAATTCAGACAGACAAGAGTTTTGGAGCACAATACTCCTGACCTCACAATCGTGTTAAAAAACAAAGTATGGGTAATTGATATTGCAATCCCAGGCGGCAGCAAAATTGAAGAGAAACCAAAGGAAAAGCTGATACGATATGAGGATTTAAAGATTGAACTGCAAAGACTCTGGCACAAGGTGGTCCCAGTGGTGATTGGCACACTAGGTGCAATGCCCAAAGACCTTGGCCTGCACTCAGTCCTGACAAAATTACCATCTGCCAGCTGCAGAAGGCCAGCTTACTGGGATCTGCACGCATTATTCACCAATACATCACACAGTCCTAGACACTTGGGAAGTGTCCGACGTGTGATCCAATACAAGAGACAGCAGAGTGTTTGCTGTGGACTCATCTTGTTCTCTTTCAAATAATAATAATAACTGGGTTGTTGTAGAGTTTTTCGGGCTATATGGCCATGGTCTAGAGGCATTCTCTCCTGACGTTTCGCCTGCATCTATGGCAAGCATCCTCAGAGGTAGTGAAGTCTGTTGGAACTAGGAAAAAGGGTTATATATCTGTGGAATGACCAGGGTGGGACAAAGGACTCTTGTCTGCTGGAGCTAGGTGTGAATGTTTCAACTGACCACCTTGATTAGCATATAATGGCCCGACAGTGCCTGACATAGAGAATGCCTCTAGACCATGGCCATATAGCCTGAAAAAACCTACAACAACCCAGTGATTCTGGCCATTAAAGCCTTTGACAATAATAATAACTTTATTTATACCCCGCCACCATCTCCCCAAAGGGACTCGGGGCTGCTAACATTATGCCAAGCCCAAGTAATTACAATAAGGCAAAATAAAATAATACAAAACAGACAATAACATCACGTAAAATGCTTAACAATAATATAGTAATGCAAAAAATAGTGACAATAACATAATAAAACAAAATATAAAATGATAGAAGAATTAAAATGCAAATATGAAGAGAAAAAGAGCTTTATTCATAAACATCCTCCTTAATGGAATCACCATCATTATGGGTGCCTTAAATACCTCCCCGCTTAAGCAGTACCTACTTATCTACTCACATTGCTGTTTTCGAAACTGCCTGTTAGGTAGAAACTGGGCTAAATGCCAGGAGCTCACCCTGACCTGGGCTTTGAACTGTCAACCTTTCAGTTGGCAAGATTTACTGCAGCTGGCGGTTAACTTGCTGTGCCCGGCCCGACATGCTGATAGTCTTCCCCAAACTAGTTCCCTCCAGATGCGTTGGTCTCTGACAGCATAGGCACTTGCAATGCTGTTCAGGCTTTTCCTCCTGTAGTAAACTTTCTTTAATTGCTTCCATTCGGGCTTTATTGTCATATGGCTTGTGGGAGCAGAGTATTTTTTTACTCATAGTAGGTTGCTTGGTTTTCCTTTAGATTTACAATTATTTACATCTCAGTATGTAGGGAGCCAGATGTTAGTAGTAGTAGTGTGTGTAGTTTTAACTTTGAATTTGTTTTAATGGATTTTAACTGTGAATTTTGAATACTGTTTATATTTAAATCCTGTTTAAATGTTTGCATATTCGTGTATTTTAAATGGTATGCAATACTTTTATGTTAAACTGCGTTGAGCCTCCTTCAGGAGAGATAAAGTGGAGTATAAACAACAACAACAACAATTATTGCACCAACAAGTAATTTTAAGATAATCGCTTAATTTAATTATATTTTCATTCACCTCTGAGTCATTTTATGTAGATTCTCCAAGTTAGGAGCCATTTCCAGGAATGAGTGAGCAACTTACAAAATTGGGAATCAACTTTTGAAAAAATCAAATCAAGTGAAAAATCTGAGAACTTTTAGAATAAAGGGATGTTCATTGTTGGCCAGGAGATTTTACTAGAAGGAATAAGGTTCCCAACGTAAAATCAGATCAAAACAGGAAAATTGAGGAATATTCTCCTTTACAAAAGGGGAGGGTGGCATATTTTTAAGGGGGACGCATTCTCCCCTGAATTGAACAGCCCAGGGCAAAAATAAGGGAACAGCCTCCCGGCAAATCTTGAGGTGACAAAAGAATAGAGATGGCCCATGGTGGAGGCATCATAGAAGGACACCAGCCCACCGACATAGTCCAGATAAACACCAACTCTTTTGGGAAAGGAGCTGAGGCAGAGCCTTTGAGGTGGAGTGTCCTTTGCCATTAATTCTACCCCATTCCTAAACCGAATTACCCAGAATCCATTGCTGGGGGAGGCAGCGATTTTCCCCTTGCGGTTGATGGAGATGCTAACCAGGCCTAATGTCCAAGAGGGCTTGTTGCCAACTTCCACCTCCCAGTAGTGTTTTCCAGAGCAGAAACCTCTGCAACCCAAGACCGCTACACAGTAGTTGAACCGCACAGGAGTGTCAGGGACATCCCGGCGTATGTGGCCGTCCCGGACAGAAGTGCAGTCCTCCGAAAGGACCAGGCAAGGATGAGCTGTTTCAGGATCCAGGGTTATCAGGGGGAAATCTGCAGAATGAAGAAAGAGAAGATAATTGTTCTGTAAATCAAGACAATACATTGTAAGTCTCTTACTGAGCCTATTTTTGGGTGAGTGAGCTTATTAACAAAAGACCCTCCTAAATGCATAGCAGAGTAACTTATCAGCAGCAGTGTGACCCAGCACCAGTTGTCCAAAGTGATAACAAGAAGAAAAACACAGACCAATGTTATATCTTCCATAGGAGGTTTTTCTTTAAAGCAAAATATGGTTGCACAATTTACAAGAACAAAGTTTCCATAACACAAATAAAGTTCAGCCTTCACATTGGAGCATTCTCACATGAGGCTTCTCTCACACAGAGATTTACCTTACAATGAAGCCTGCTCTCCCACTGAGACGATCTCTCACACAGAGAAACTTCTCTCAGACTGAGGCATTTTCACTCTCAGGATGACACTAGCTTTGGCCCACTGACTTTTAACTCACATTTTTGTAATTAAAAACACCTAGTTAATTTTTAATATTTCTGACACCTGTATCCCAACTTCAAGAAATAAAGCCTGACTGCTCATTGGAGGGAAGAATAGTAGAGGCCAAGATGAAGTACTTTGGCCACATGAGAAGAAAGGAAAGCTTAGAGAAGACAATGATGCTGGGGGAAATGGAAGGAAAAAGGAAGAGGGGCCAACCAAGGGCAAGATGGATGGATGGGATCCTTGAAGTGACTAGCTTGACCTTGAAGGAGCTGGGGGTGGTGACGACCGACAGGGAGCTCTGGTCCATGAACGAATGAACAACAACAACAACAACATATCCCAACTGTTTCTCAGGTGGAATTTAACACAACCAAACATCTTATCAACCAAATTTCTTTAATCCCCATAGCCAAAAGGCGCTAGATGCTTTGCAGTTGAAATCAACCAGTTGGTAACCCTTATGCATATTCCTAAGTCAACAGAAGAAATTTGTGTAGTTCTTTATTTTACACATGTGGCATTCAGAAGAAGTAAGAGGATCCCTTGGTGGTTCTCCCAGATGATTATCTTACCTATGTTGAGAGCAGATTTCATTTCCTTCCAGGCAGCATATTGCAAAGGTCCTTTGAATCGTCCAAGGACCTGTAATACTGGTGGCACAACAGGAAAAGCTGGAGTGGTTTGCTGCTGCTTCGCCCTTAGCCAAAAGGTAAAAACAGACATCCAGAAATACGTGTTAATACATATAAATACAAGAGTTTATCAATTTTAAGAAGAAAATGGCTTTTTTCATTACACTCACCTGTTTAGGAGAGAGTGTATGCCCTATTAAATAAAGAAAATAAAAGAGAAACAAAATTAACAGCTGGGATATTTGGGATTCTATTAAATATTATTTAACTCTCAAAAAGTCCTGCTTGTCATCTCTTATATATTGAATGGTATAACATATACTTCTATGCATGTCCTTTCTCATTCATCCATGGACCAAGTGCTGCCATATCACAGAATGTTAATACACATTCTCCCCATTTAGACTAATAGTAATTAATACATTGTCGAAGGCTTCCATGGCCGAAATCACTGGGTTGTTGTGAGTTTCCTGGGCTGTATGGCCATGTTCCAAAAGCATTCTCTCCTGATGTTTCACCCACATCTATGGCAGGCATCCTCAGAGGTGGTGAGGTCTGTTGGAAACTAGGGAAATTGGGTTTACATATCTGTGGAATAATGTCCAGGGTGGTAGAAAGAACTCTTGTCTGTTGGAGCCAGATTTTGTTCATTTTCATGGTTTCTTCCTTTCTGTTGAAGTTGTCCACATGCTTGTGGATTTCAATGGCTTCTCTGACCACTCTAACAACCATCATGTCAGACTACACAGAGAAGCCACTGAAATCCACAAGCAGGAAATGAAAAAAATCTGGCTACCAGTATTTAAAAAACTATGAAATCGGACAGTAGATAAAGAGCAACACTCAAAAACACAGGGGAACTCCAGACAAGAAACAATCAAGGACAGCTAACACCTCCCAACAAAAGATTCCCCCAGGCAGGAAGCAACCAGGCTTTGAAGCTGCAAGGATATTCAATGTTAATCAAGGTGGCCAATTGCAACATTCACACCTACCTCCAACAGGCAAGTGTTCTTTCTCCCACCCTGGACATTCCAGAGATATATAAACACTTGCCTAGTTTCCAACAGACCTCACAGCTTCTGAGGATGCCTGCCATAGATGTGGGCAAAAAGTCAGGAGAGAATGCTTCTGGAACATGGCCATACGGCCTGGAAAACTCACAACAACCCTGTAACTAATTTAATAACTATGGTATAACTAGAAAGAAAAGGGGCGGAAATCATATAGCCTTCAAAATTTTAGTGGGTGGCAAATTTCAGCCAATGGTGAATATGAGGATTTGCAACCCAGCACCATGTGAAGAGCCCATGTACAATAGGGCTTTTTCAAGCTCTGCTTGGAGATGTTGAGGGATAGAACTTGGGACTTTCTGTCTGTTTTTCAAACAGAAGCAACACAACTGGGTCAAACCTTGATAGGAACTAGGACTTGGTTTCAGCTATAGCACAATCTCTCTTTTTTCCGTGGATACAACTTTCCGCCTTTGCTGTTGTTGTTGTTGTTGTTGTGTGGTCTTTTAGTGATTTCCAACTAATCAGGAACCTAAGGTTAACCTGGCCGCCATGGTGTGCAGTGGGTTAAACCACTAATCTGCAGAAGTTGCTGACTGAAAGGTTGGCAGTTCGAATCTGGGGAGCAGGGTGAGCTCCCACTGTTAGGCCCAGCTTCTGCCAACCTAGTTGTTCAAAAACATGCAAATGTGAGTAGATCAATAGGTACTGCTTCTGCGGGAAGGTAATGGCACTCCATGTAGTCATGCCAGTCACATGACCTTGGAGGCATCTACAGACAATGCCGGCTCTTTGACTTAGAAATGGAGATGAGCACCAACCCCCAGAGTCGGACACGACTAGACTTAATGTCAGAGGAAACCTTAAGGTTAACCTATTAGACCTTTCTTCACAGGTTTGCCTTTCCTTTGCTCTGGGGTTGTGACATGCCCACAGTCATCCAGTGGGCTTTGTTACCCAAATGAGGATTCAAACCCTAGTCAACTGAGCCAAGATCCAACACTCAAACCACCACATTACGGTGGCTTTCAAATTTTCCTCTTACTGTTAGGAAATCTGAAGAGTCTTGTAGTTCCAGATGATCCTGGGCTTCCAACAGCAGCTCCTGACAACCGCGGCAAGCCTCCCTCAGCAGCCTCAGCCTCTCCTTTGTCTCTTGGAGCAGGGCGCCTCCTTCCTCTGCCAACTTTGACTTGCACACCTTCTCTTGGGCATTGAGGAAGTGGTGAAGCTGCCTGAATTCAGTGGTGATGTGGTCATCCAAGCTTAGCATAACTGCCTGGAAAACAGAGGTGTATTTACAGTACACTACAACCTCCATTGTATTAGCTTCCTGGTGGTGCAGTGGGTTAAACCGCTGAGCTGCTGAACTTGCTGACCAAAATGTTGGTGGTTTTAATCCAGGGAGCAGAATGAGCTCCCGCTCTTAGGCCCTGCTTCTGCCAACTTAGCAGTTCGAAAACATGCAAGTGTGGGTTGTTGTAGGTTTTTTCGGGCTATATGGCCATGTTCTAGAGGCATTCTCTCCTGACGTTTCGCCTGCATCTATGGCAAGCATCCTCAGAGGTAGTGAGGTCTGTTGGAAGTAGGAAAATGGGTTTATATACTGTGGAATGACCAGGGTGGAACAAAGGACTCTTGTCTGCTGGAGTTAGGTGTGAATGTTTCAACTGACCACGTGGTCAGTTGGAACATTCACACCTAGCTCCAGCAGACAAGAGTCCTTTGTCCCACCTTGGTCATTCCACAGATATATAAACCCCTTTTCCTAGTTCCAACAGACCTCACTACCTCTGAGGATGCTTGCCATAGATGCAGGCGAAACGTCAGGAGAGAATGCCTCTAGACCATGGCCATAGAGCCTGAAAAAACCTACAACAACCCAGTGATTCCAGCCATGAAAGCCTTTGACAATACATGCAAGTGTGAGTAGATCAATAGGTACCGCTTCTGCTGGAAGGTAGCAGTGCTTCATGCAGTCATGCTGGCCGCATGACCTAGGAGGTGTTTATGGACAATGCCGACTCATCAGCTTAGAAATGGAGATGAGCACCACCCCCCAGAGTTGGACATGACTAGATTTAATGTCAGGAGAAACCTTTACCTTTACAACCTCCATATTCTCTGAGGATACATTCCCCCTATAGATACCTAAAACCATGGGTAATAGCAAACCCTATGTTTTGATTACAATGTACTTGAGCCTAAAGCATTCCTTAAGATGGCATTGGAAGATTCTGAGAGCTTGTTTGAAGGTCCATCTCCATTACTCCATTACTCCATTTTCCAATGAATTTCTCCTTTACAATTATTTGCGTTTCATTTCTATCTCATCCTGAGTTTTTATCATTTTACCTCGTACATGTGGCACACTGACTGTGATTGTGATTTATCTATTACTGTATTTTGCATTATTTTATTGTATCCTTATGTTTTATTTATTTTATTGTGATGTTTATTTTGTGTTTTTGGTTTTATTTTGTTGTAATGCATTGCTGGGCCGCCCCGAGTCCGCATTGGGGAGATGGTGGCGGGGTATAAATAAAGTTTATTATTATGTGAAAGCATAGGTGTTGAATCCATGGCTAAAGCAGGGTGTATTGCTTTAAGCATTTCCCTCCTCTGTAACCTAAGAAATCAGATACCAGTTCTCTGTTTTTCAGAATCATACTTTTCTTTTACCTGGTGGTTCTGGAGCTTTTCTTCTTCCTCTCTCTTAAGCACAAGAAGTTTGGCCAAGTTAGATTCCATCTGAGAAACTGCCAAACTCAGCTCCCCCTGTTCAGAAATGCAAGTGGAAATTACAATAGTTCAAGGCAACCATGGCTCTGGTAGTTACATCTGCACTGTAGAGAAGATGCAGTTTGGTATCACTTTGGCTGCCATGGCTCAATGCTAAGCACTCAATAGTTTGTGGCCCTCCAACTTCCAGAATCAGATTGTGGCCCTCCAACTTCCAGAATCCCTAGCCAGCTTGTTCAATCATCTGCAATTCTGCAAGTTGGGTGCCTGAACAGCTGCAGTCTGAGGATGCCTTTCGATGTCTTTAGTCTTTTCTGTGAGTATTGGTGCCACACTAAACTATAAATCCCAGGATTCCATACCATTGAGCCATGGCAATTAAGTTTTCCATCCCTCCCTCTCTTTTTTGTTTGGACCCAGTCTCACCTTACACCACTCTGTTGCTTCGTGGACAGGGAGCCTTGCACGATCCTGCTCCGGTGCACATTCCCTGCCATTAGCACTGCTGCGTCGCCCTTCCTCAGTCTCCTTGGGATTCATTCCCCTGATTCGGTGGATCAAGGTCTCTAAGAGCTTGCAAGGGGTGTACCTCTTCTCCGGAAACTCTTCCCGACATTGTGGACAGATGTGTTTGCTGCTACGGGCTCCCCAAGCAGTCTCAATGCAGGCCTGGCAGTAGAGGTGCCCACAAGGGAGGGCAACTGGCTCCAAGAACCATTGCAGGCAAATAGGGCAGGAGAAATCAGGAACCAGATCTTCAAACGGTGTACCTGAAGCCATACAGGCTCGCTCTAAGGTCTCAGAGAATTGTGGCTCCTTTCTCTTCCCACGTATGAAAATCTCAGTTCAATGTCAGCAGTTCAATCTCTTTCCCTTGCCTCTAACTACCTGCTCCCAAAGCCAGAATCAGAAAAACAACCCAGTTGTCAGAAACAAGCTTTGCTGTGGCATTGCTCTTGACCCAGGTGTTATCTGACTTTAACCAAATTACGGAGCTGGACTTTGCTCCAGGTAGCCAATTGATCTGGGATTTATCACTCACCAGGGGTGGGGAAGTAGGAACACAATTACAACCAACCACCCCTTATGCACATACTGCCTTTACCTTAGCGGGAGTTTCAGGCTTGTTCTTTTTCCTGGGTACTCTCCTGTACCTTTAAGAGCAACATTGAGGGAGACATAGTTTTAAAAGGGAATTTTCCCATATGTCCTGATTTACTGCCATGTGTGCCTGTCTACTTTTGCAAAGGACCTTTGTTTGCAAAATTATTGATGTGTAGAGAAAGAGCTGCCGAGGAGCAGAGTTGGGCAGAAAGTACTCCCTAACACTTTCCTAATTTCCCAGCCACATGAAGTACTAACCTACAGAAACTTTCACACCGAGTGTTCATGACTGGAGAATAATACACCATAGTTGTGCCATTGTTAAGGCCCCACATGTGCCTTTATGCCTGTCAAATTCATAGAGAGCCAATGAAATTTGTATTAGCCAGCTTAGACCAATGAAATGATTGACACTTAAACACCAATGAGAATGTTTTCAATTCTTTGCCAATTGATAAAAGCCTTGCAGCCACATTTTGAAAAGTTTGAGATACCTTAACTGAGAGATATATGTGTGAATTTGCAATTGTGTTTGTAACTATAACTGTTTTAATGTATTGTCGAAGGCTTTTATGGCTGGAATCACTCAGTTCTTGTGGGTTTTTTCGGGCTATATGGCCATGTTCTAGAGGCATTTCTCCTGACGTTTCGCCTGCATCTATGGCAAGCATCCTCAGAGGTGAGGACCTCACCTCTGAGGATGCTTGCCATAGATGCAGGCAAGGACCTCACCTCTGAGGATGCTTGCCATAGATGCAGGCAAGGACCTCACCTCTGAGGATGCTTGCCATAGATGCAGGCAAGGACCTCACCTCTGAGGATGCTTGCCATAGATGCAGGCGAAACATCAGGAGAAATGCCTCTAGAACATGGCCATACAGCCCGAAAAAACCCACAAGAACTGAGTATAACTGTTTTTGTAATTGAAACCAAAGTAGAAAAACTGTGAAGAAATATCGCAACTGGTTTTGTAACTGTAATGATTTAGAATATGTAAATGTTGCAAGCACTGTAAATATTGCAAAACTAAGTATGTCTCATTTGATTGTAATTGTTAGCAAATGTGTAATATGTATTTATAATAATAAAAATTACTTATACCCATTTGGGAGTGTGACAAAGCCTTTTCATGCACTTCTGTATGCATTTTGTCGATATTGCTAGGCCTGCAATAAGAATCCAACTTGTGGCCTCCTCCTTGCATTGCTACCTGGGCCTTTGAGGGGACTCCTAAGCTTGTGCATTTAGAGTACTGGTGAGCCCATGCCCCAACATCTGTGCTCCTTCAACATCTCTTGCAGAAATAATAAATCCTACTTTCTCTTTCTAAAAACAGACCCCAAATCCCTATCCCAGAGAGAATAATTGCAGGCATCTTTTTAAAAGCCTGAAAAGCTAAACACAAAAATTTCAAGCTACTATGGGACTTTATTATGATGGCAACCAGACTAATTGATAACTGGCAAATAGAAGGAGAAAATGTATTATCGAAGGCTTTCATGGCCGGAATCACTGGGTGGTTGTAGTATTTTTCGGGCTGTATGGCCATGATCTAGAGGCATTCTCTCCTGACGTTTTGCCTGCACTTTGGCAAGCATCCTCAGAGGTAGTGAGGTCTGTTGGAACTAGGCAAAAGGATTTATATACCTGTGGCATGACCAGGGTGAGACAAAGGACTCTTCTCTGCTAGAGCTAGGTGTGAAAGTTTCAACTGACCACCTTGATTAGCATACAATAGCCTGACTGCGCCTGGGGCAAACTTTTGTTGAGAGGTAATTAGATGTCCTTGTTTGTTTCCTCTCTGTTGTGCTGTTGCAATTTTAGAGTTTTTTAATACTGGTAGCCAGATTTTGTTCATTTTCATGGTTTCCTCCTTTCTGTTGAAATTGTCCACATGCTTGTGTATTTCAATGGCTTCTCTGTGTAGTCTGACATGGTGATTGTGAGAGTGGTCCAGCATTTCTGTGTTCTCAAATAATATGCTGTGTTCCAGGTTGGTTCATCAGGTGCTCTGCTATGGCTGATTTCTCTGGTTGAAGTAGTCTGCAGTGCCTTTCATGTTCCTTGATTCGTGTTTGGGAAGGAGAAAACATGGAGGCAGTGACAGATTTATATTTCTGGGTGCAAATATGAAGTGCAGCCAGGAAATCAGAAGACGTTTACTTCTTGGGAGGAGAGCAATGACCAATCTCGATAAAATAGTGAAGAGTAGAGACATCACACTGGCAATGAAGATCCGCATAGTTAAAACAATGGTATTCCTGTAGTAACCTATAAATGCAAGAGCTGGACCATAGGGAAGGCTGAGTGAAGGAAGACAGACACTTTTGGAGAATTCTGAGAGTGCCTTGGATCATAAGATCCAACCAGTCCACACTCCAGGAAGTAATGCCCGGCTGCTCACTGGGGGGAAAGATATTAGAGGCAAAAATGAAGTACTTTGGCCACATAATGAGAAGACAGGAAAGCTTGGAGAAGACAATGATGCTGGGGAAAATGGAAAGAAAAGGGAAGAGGGGCCAACCAAGGGCAAGATGGATGGATGGGATCTGCATTAATTGCCATGGCTGCATTTGATAGAATTCTAGGATTTGTAGTTTCCTACAGACATTTAGAGTTCTGTTAATTTGTTTAAATTGCTTTTATGTATGTATGTTTGTATAACTGACATAGGCATCGAATTGTGCCTTCTTTTGTAAGCCGCCCTGAGCCCCCCTCAGGGGTGAGAAGGGCGGGGTAGAAGTAACTGAAATAAATAATAATAATAAATAAGGGCACAGCCAGTAAAACACACTGACAGCCCAATTGGTTACAAAGTGTAGAAACAAGTGATCCAGAGGCAAACACAGTAAGATGTACTTCAGGGGCCCCACTACCACTTGTATGGCAACTCTTCAGTGATGCCACATTTATGAACACACATAGTCAGTCTCCCACACTTACTGGAGTTAGGGATCCCTGTGAAAGTTTGGGGGGGGGGGTGGAGCAGATAAAGTTTTTGGGGTTTTTTTTACCTGAGTGAACACCTCTTTAGGACCCTATGGTTGAATCCACTGGAGGTTTATCACAGAATCTCACTGGGGAACCTAGAGATTTCTAAGGAGGTGTTCTCTTTAGAAATCTCTATGGCCTAAGTGCTTTGGTGCACAGCCTCCGGTGGCACAATAGGTTAAACCCTTGTGCTGGCAGGACTGCGAACCGAAAGGTTGGTGGTTGGAATCAGGTGAGTGGGGTGAGCTTCCGTCTGTCAACTCCAGCTTCTCCTGCAGGGACATGAGAGAAGCCTCCCACAGGATGGTAACAACCTTGCAGGTGGGCCAATTCTCTCACACCAGAAGTAACTTACAGTTTCTCAAGTCACTCCTACAATGAAAAAAGTGCCCTAGAATCCTAGAATTCCATAATACTGAGCCATGAGTTAACGTGATGTCATATTGCATTAATTCTACAGGGCAAATGCACTCTTAGAGGTCCCAGTTAGACTTTATGATGTGTAAGATGTGATGTGCTTTGGCCATGTGAAAATGCCTGTGTGCCGAGTATTATACTATTGCAATACAATATAATACTAATTCAATACAATAATATAATAATATATATTACATATAATATTACTAATAAACGGCAGTATAGTGGTATAATACAATATAGTAAGATATAATACTAATATTGTGCTATGTTAATACTATAATACAGGGGTCCTCAAACTAAGGCCCGTGGGCCAGATACAGCCCTCCAAGGTCATTGACCTGGCCCTCGCTCAGGGTCAACCTACGTCTGAAACGACTTGAAAGCACACAACAACAATAACAACAACCCTATCTCATCAGCCAAAAATGGTCCACACTTCCCACTGAAATACTAATAAGTTTATATTTATAAACTTATTTATAATAAGTCCCAAATTGTTTTTCATTTTAATTATTCTATTGTTTTTAAGTGTTTTTTGCATTATAAATAAGATGCGTGCATAGGAAATCATTCATGTTTTTTTCAAATTATAATCCGGCCCTCCAACACTTTGAGGGACTGTGACATGGCCCTCTGTTTAAAAAGTTTGAGGACTCGTGCTATAATATATTGTATGTACATATAACTTGTAAGCCACTCAGAGTCCCCTTCAGGGTGAGAAAGGAGGGATATAAATGTCATCAATATATAAATGAAGAGCAAAATTAACTTGACTGATTTCACCAAGAAAGCCATGGAAACAACAAAAAATAGATTTTATTTCCCCTTATGTACAACCAACCCACAACCACCATCTCATTTCTCTCATTTCTCTCCCGAGGTATCTCCCAAGCTATCATTAGCCAGAGCGAGGAAAGTGTTTTCCTGACAAATGGAGAGGTGTTTACAATGAGATGGTTCTGGCTTATACCATCGTCACTTTACGATAATGTGCCATTGGCTGCTCTGCTTCCGGCAACACACTTTCTTGAGTTGCCCTTATTTCCAAGGGCACCGCCATCTTCCTCACTCAACGGAAGTGGGGAAGGGAGGATTCACAGTAGATAACGCCCAGGCTGGGTAACACAAAAGCAGCACTAACAACCTTTCAGCCTAGATAACAGTAACACTGCAGATGCTAGCCAGTCAGGAAGCCTTTCGGATTTCCAGCTTGGCTACCTTTCCTCCCTCTGACACAAACCCCCACCATTTTTTCCAACATAACTTTGGTCCCTTCTCAGAATAACTCCAAACTATTCCAAAACAGCAATAAAAAGAAACCACCCCAGTGAAAATGAACTATTAAACCAGCAGACTGTAATGTGGTTAACTCCACCATCAAGTATTCCAGTCAGTGTTCCCAGCAGGTAACTTTTGAACCGAATTCTTGCCGAACGCAATATTCACAAGATGAGCACCACAGGATCGGTGGAAGAAAGAGAGCTCTGTTCCGGCACAGGCACACACGCCAAAGACTGGGGATCGTGGTACATACGCTGGTGTCGGAGGAGAACTGAACTGTCCCTGAAGCTTTTCCCACAGTCAACGCATTGGAAGGACCGCTCCCTTGTGTGGATGCGCTGATGGCGCAGTAATTCGGAGCGTTGGCTGAAACTCTGGGGGCAGTCAGGGCACGGGTGGAGCTGTCCACGGGTGTGGGTGAGTTGGTGCTGGAAGAGCAAGCTTGGCTGGGTGAAAGAGCAGCAGCACTCCTGGCATGCATAGCGGCGCTCAGTTGCAAGGACTACTTGGTTTTGGTTGAGGCTGGAGATGCTGGTAAATGTTCGTCTGCAATCAGAGCTCTCTGGGATCTCCGTTCCTGGAATAAGCATTTGATCAGATGAGGGACTTGGACTGGGGCAACTCTCCTGACTGTCGGAGTGGAGCAGTCTTGTGCCACTAACCAATAAGCAGTTATCATCCTTAACATCCAACTCCTCATTCCAGCCTTGCTCATCACCATGCCCAACATGGAACTCCAGTATCTCTTCATTCTCAGGGTTCCCAGCACTGAGATCCAGATTGTCTTGGTGTTCATGGTTCCCAACATGGAGTGCCATGATATCACCCTGCTCAACGGTTTCCTTAGTCCACCTGCGCTCATAATCCCCGACGCAGAGCTCCAGGATCTCCTCATCTTCCGGATTCCTGGCACGGGGCTCTGAAATTGGTTGGCCGTTTTCCAGAGAAAGCCCAGCCACCTGTTCTCTGCCACTTTCCACGGGGAACTCGGCCACCTGTTCCCCATCCTGGGTGTCTGCAATCCACTCGTATTCCCACTCTTCTTCACCCAGGTCAGAGCCTGGTCCAAACTCAGAGTCACCAGAATAGAGCCCCGCGTCCTTCCTTCTCTCTTTTTGATGCTGGTGAACCCGGAGGTGCTGGTTGAGGTTGGAGCGGCGACTGAAGAAGCGTCCGCACTCTGGGCACTCATGGGGCCGCGCGCCTGTATGCACCCTCCGGTGCTGCTGCAGGCTGGAGCTGAGGCTGAAGCCGCGGCCACAAATCTCGCAGCGGTAAGGCTGCTTCTTAGAGTGGATCTTCTGGTGACGGGCCAGTTTGTAGCGGTCGGAGAATATCTTTCCACATTCCTTGCACTTGCGGCAGAGCTCCCTGGTATGGACTTGCTGATGCCGGACCATAGTGGAGTGCCGATCAAAGCTCTTGGGGCAATCTGGGCAGCAGAAAGGTTTCTCCCCAGAGTGCGAGAGCTGGTGCCGAGTCAAGGCCGACTGCCAAGGGAAGGTCTTGTCACAGTCAGGGCAGGCAAAGCGTGGCCCCGTCCGCAGCCAGCGGGTTTGGTTCTCTTGCTTGCTGGGAGGGCTACTTTGGACCGTGGCCTCCCAGCCTTTGAGGGGGCTTGGGGGTCCCAGCATAGACGCCATCCTATCAGTAGTTTCCTCTTCCTTCCAGGTTGCCACCTCACATTTGGACTCACTCAAGAGCACAGCATCTCCTGGGAGAGAGGAAAAGAAAGAAAGGTGGGCAAGATTATGGGGTGAATATTGTGCTCCAGTCATAAGTGATTTGGTATTCTGTACATAGAATCATAGAGTTGGAAGAGACCTTGTGGGCCATCCAGTCCAACCCCAGCCAAGAAGCAGGAAGATCACATTCAAAGCATCACCAACAGATGGCTATCCAGCTTCTGTTTAAAAGTCTCCAAAGGAGGAGCCTCCACCACACTCCAGGGCAGAGAGTTCCACCGCTGAACAGCTCTCATAGTCAGGAAGTTCTTCCTAATGTTCAGGTGGAATCTCCTGAATCTTGTGCATGTCACTGCCCTGTTGGCTTCTTTACTACACAGACCTTGGGACTCCGTCTTCCAGTGGCTTTGCTCCACTGGAAGGGCACACAGTCACAGAGATTGAGATGCCCACACTGATATAATCAAAGCAAAACTCATTGCTTAAAGGCCAAGTTCATATAATGAACATAAAAACAGAAAGAAGCCCTAGTATAGCTTTAATATCGCTATATAATAACATTATATAATAATAAACGTTATATAATAAACAGCTGAAAAAAGAGGGAAAAGATGCAATATTAAATTTATTAACAACTAGTCGTTTCTTGCCATAACTTGTTGTGGCCCAGTTTGTTTATATGTGTTTTGTGTGTGTATATATATTTGTGTATATGTGTATATATGTGGTTTTGCGCTTGTGTTGTTATGTAATTTTTATTTTGGGGTTTTTTAAGTCTCTTCTGCTGTGTTTTTCAGTGTTTTTATGAGTGATAGTCACTCGTTGGCCTGATAGGTGTATAGTGTCCAAATTTGGTGTCAATTCGCCCAGTGGTTTTTGAGTTCTGTTAATCCCACAAACTAACATTACATTTTTATTTATATAGATAGAAAGACTGCTTACAGCAAGGAATTGGAAAAGGGAAATAAATATACAAATAGAGGAGTGGTATAAGGAAGTATGGAAATTGACAATAAATCATAAGCTGTCATGCAAATTAATAGTTAAAAGAGGGATTTGGGAACAAAGTGGTTTTGATGATGTATAGAGAAAATTTATTGAAAAGGGATTCAAAAAGAAAGACGGAAAGTTATCTCCACAAGAAGAATTAAAATTTTGGACAGATACTACATAAAAGAAGGGGAGAAAGGTGGTGAGGAACAGAAAAAGGTATAAGTGTGAAAATAACAGTAGATGCAAAATAATATATATTGTAGATTGTATTGAATATTATGTGTCTGCTGTAGAAAAAATGATGTGTTTGTGGTTGAAGGCTGCTCCTCTGAGGACACTTATATCATCTGCAATGTCTCAGTACCAAAGGAAAACTAATGAAATCACAGGACAACGTTTTCCTCACCTACAACTCCCAGGGGTGGCCTTTCTGAAAAATTCTTAGGATCTCGTAAATACAGGTCCTGGTTCCTGCCGCTCTCCATTTTGACAATCAGGTCTGGCTTGAGAACTGGAAAACCTGGCCGTAAAGGGGAGAAACAAGTAAAGAACATGTAACAGAAGGACATAGACATCAAGAAAACAAAGGGAGAAGTATCTGTTCTTTGCCCAAGTTTCCAACCATCTGAATTAAATATAGCCCAAAATAAATTAAATTATGATCACTGCAAAACTTTGAAATATAATTGTAGAACACTCCAAAGTGTTGAAAAAAAAACACTTTCTATTTGTGTATAGGTTGAAGATCCCTCATCCGACACACTTAGGGCCAGAAAGATTTGGGATTTTGGAATGCCTATTATCTTAATAAATGTATATAACATAATACCTTGGAGACTGGATCTGAGGCTAAACATTGACTTCATTTATGTTTCATATATACTTTATGGAGCCCCTGGTAGTGCAGTGGGTTGAACCAGTGAGCTGCTGAACTTGCTGACCAAAAGGCCGGCAATTCAAATCTGGGGAACGGGGTAAGCTCCCACTGTTAGCTCCAGCTTCTACCAACCTAGCAGTTCAAAAATATGCAAATGTGAGTAGATCACATTTGTGGCGCAGCTGGCTGAGTGTCAGCTGCATTAAGATCACTCTGACCAAAAGGTCATGAGTTCGAAGCCAGCCCGGGTTGGAGTAGGTTTCCAACCAATTGTGTAGCCTGTTGTCGACCTTTGCAACCCGAAAGACAGTTGCATCTGTCAAGTAGGAAAATTAGGTACCACCTTAAAGTGTGGGGAGGCTAAATTAACTGATTTATGAGGCCATAAAAAAGACTCCAGCAAAGCACTCCAGCAAAAGCATGCGGGGAATGCGGAAGTACTTCTTCAGTGTCGCAGATCGACGATGAAAGCGACAGCTCCCCTGGTGACCAGAAAAAGTTAAATAGCTTCTGTCTATGTCTGTATACGTTGTATGTCAAAAATTGGCATTGAATGTTTGCCATATATGTGTACACTGTAATCCGCCCTGAGTCCCCTGCGGGGTGAGAAAGGCGGAATATAAAAGCTGTAAATAAATAAAGAAATAAATCAATAAGTACAGCTCTGGTGGGAAAGTAACGGCATTCCATGCAGTCATGCTGGCCACATGACTTAGGAGGCGTCTACAGACAACGCTGGCTCTTTGGCATAGAAATGGAGATGGGCACCACTCCCCAGAGTCAGATATGACTAGACTTAATATCAAGGGGAAACCTTTATCTTTATTATTCTGCTTTTCTTCTGAATGAGACCTTCATGGCCTCCATGACAAATTGATTACACAAGACCAAGCGTATAATTGAACCCTCGTTTTCCAGCATTCTAGTCCAATGCTCAAGCTACTACAACACACTGGATCACGACTGGGATTTGAAAGTCAAAAAATAACTTCTCTAAACTCTGGAAAGCCCTAGATGCGGGTCAACCAGCTTAGCCTTTTAACATTAGGTTTACCCCAAAAGATCCAAGACTTGTGTGGAGACATAAACTATCTGCAAATGTCAAATCACTAGCCAGTCTTCAAGGACAACCCCAACGAAGTCTTTAGGGAAAGTTCCAAGCCATTTCTCACCCAGTGACTTGACATTCTCGTAATTCTCAAGCATGACCTCCTGGTAGGTCTTCCTCTGGGCTTTGCTGAGGAGTCTCCACTCTTCCTCAGAGAAAGACACAGCCACTTCTTCAAAAGTCACCAGTGCCTGGTACAACGCAAGTTTGAAAAAGACATATAACCAATGTGGTGCTTCTTTTGGAACACAGGATCATCCCTAGTTGAATGAAGACATTAATGCACACCCAATCCTTCATTAAAGTCCAGGAACAAGTAATACTCCTTTCAGAATGTCCAACTCTGATTAAACCATTATTCTAACCTTCGTCAATGTAAATGTGCTTAAGTATCCTTGTAAGTAAAATAACAAATGTAATAAAAATAATAATAGAGAAAAGTAATGGAAAGCCAATAACAGTAATAAGAGTACAATAATAAATGTAACAATAATAGGAGTAATAATAATAATAAATAGAGTAACATAATGGAAATGTAATAATAGAGTAAAACAATCTATTTAAATAAAAATGTAATGTTCGTTTGTGGGATTAACAGAACTCAAAAACCACTGGACAAATTGACACCAAATTTGGACACAAGACACCTAACAACCCAATGTATGTCCTTCACTCAAAAAAATTGATTTTGTCATTTGGGAGTTGTAGTTGCTGGGATTTATAGTTCACCTACAATCAAAGAGCATTCTGAACACCACCAACGATGGAATTGAGCCAGATTTCCCACAAAGAACCCCCATGAGCAACAGAAAATACTGGAAGGGTTTGGTGGGCAGTGTCCTTTGGTTTTGGAGTTGTAGTTCACTACATCCAGAGAGTACTGTGGACTCAAACAATGATGGATCTGGACCAAACTCTACACGAAGACTCAATATGCCCAAATGTGAACACTGGTGGAATTTGGGGAACATAGAATCTTGACATTTGGGAGTTGGAGTTGCTGTGATTTATAGTTCACCTACAATCACAGAGCATTCTGAACCCCACCAACGATAGAATTGGGCCAAACCTTCCACACAGAACCCCCATGTGGGCCACAGCAACACGTGGCAGGGGACGGCTAGTAAATGTAATAATAATAAATAGAGTAAAATAATAAATGTAATAATAATAATGGAGTAAATATAATATTAGAGTAAAACAATAAATGTAATAACAATAGAGTAAAATAATAAATGTAATAGAACAAAATAATGTAAATGTAATAATAATAATAATAATAATAATAGAGTAAAAGAATAAATGTAATAGAGCAAAATTATGTAAATGTAACTATTATAATAGTAATAATAATAGAGTAAAATAATAAATGTAATAAAAATAATAATAACAACAGAGTAAAATAATAAATAACTTCGACTCAAGTATAAGCCAAGGGGGGCTTTTTCAGGCTTAATAAAAGGCTGAAAAACTTGGCTAATACTCCAGTATATATGGCATGTCTGCTTAACCTCAAAACCTCTGAAACCCTGGTATCCCACGCCACGACCTCAAAACCAGCTTTGTGGCTAGGCTTGGAGTGTCTTACCATTTCTCCATGTCTCTTAAGCAGAGAAAGCCCCGTCATGAAGTTTTCCACTAGGTCAACAGCTTGAGCACAAGTCCCCGGATGCTGCTGCCAGACCCAGGTCTGTATCTCTTGAGGCAAAATGGCCAAAAATTGCTCCAGAACCAGCAGTTCCAAAATCTGTTCCTTGGTACGTCTCTCTGGCTTCAGCCAAAGGTGGCAAAGCGCCCGCAATTGCTCATAAGTGTTTCTCGGACCCTCAGCTTCTGGGTAGCGGAACCACCGAAAACCTTGGCGCGCCGTCTCCATGACAATTCCACCTTCTTCAAAGATGGCCGGCTCCGTTTTCACATCTCCTCCTTTGTCTCCAGCTTCCAGATACTTACAAAACCCTTGCGTCTCTTTCTCAGGAAGGGTTTCTTCTTCTCCTTTAGAGTCCGTTGACTTTTCTGGAGAACACACACCAGTCTGGTTATTCTTCTCAAGTCCTTTCAGCTCTTCTTTTGAGTGAGTTGCTTTCTGGCTGGAAGCCTCATAGACCTTAGAGATGGCCTCCTCCATAATATCAGTCTGAGTGGCCTTATCTATTCTGGGGAGGCCCAAGTCCTCAAGGGACCCCACAAAGTCCTCAATGCTACCTCCATCTATGACCATAGGTTGTATTTCCTTTTTCTTGATGCCACTGACTTCTTTAGGGCGTACCACACAGGCCTCAATGTTATCTTCTGACACAGCATCGGGTTTTCGCGAATCCCGATCTCCAAGACCAACCTCTTCTTCTTCAATAGTAATTACACAATTGGGCCCAACAATCACTTCTGTTTTAGTCCCCCTTTCTTCTTTGGGATCGGAGGCATCTTCAAAAGAGACCACACAAGTCTCAATATCATCCTCCAGGATCTCTCCAGATTTTTTATTGTCAGTCTCCTCATTCTCTGGTGTGGGCAGGAGCATTTGTTGGCGAACCTCCCAACACTGGGGTGCCATACCGGTTTCACTGAGGCCCTTCCGGTCTTTCCGAGATCTTGAGCGCTTTAAGATTTCCTTAACACCACTAACAGGAGGTGAACTCTCCTCCATTCCCACACTCAACTGGGCACCGGGTTCCACTGGCGGAGGGAACGTGAGAACCCAAGTGAGTGGCCCACCTGGCTCGGCAGCCATTTTGGAGTCTACTTCTATTACAGGAGGCAGACTGTGATTGTTGTCTAGAGCCTAAATGTATGGACAATTGTCTCCTGTTATTCAGTGCTCAGTGCAGTGTCTCCTTTGGAACCAGGTAGCTGAACAAAAGAGAAAAAAGAAAGGCCATTCAGTCAAAAACAAAACACCTATGTGTATAAACAACAGTCTCTATTCTGCCTTAGTTAGACCAAACCTGGAATATTGTGTCCAATTGTGGGCACCACAACTAAAGGGAGATGTTGACAAGCTGGAATGTGTCCAGAGGAGGGTGACTAAAATGATCAAGGGTCTGGAGATCAAGCCCTATGAGGAACAGCTTAAAGAGCTGGGCATGTTTAGCTTGAAGAAGAGAAGGCTCAGACGTGATAGCCATGTATAAATATGTGAGAGAAAGTCATAGAGGAGGGAGCAAGCTTGTTTTCTGCTTCCCTGGAGACTACTAGGATGTGAAACAATGGCTTCAAACTATAGGAAATAAGATTCCATCTGAACATTAGGAAGAACTCTTCCTGACTGTGAGAGCTGTTCAGCAATGGAACTCTCTGCCCCGGAGTGTGGTGGAGGCTCCTTCTTTGGGGGCTTTTAAACAGAGGTTGGATGGCCATCTGTCAGGGGTGCTTTGAATGTGATTTCCCTGCTTCTTGGCAGGAGTTTGGACTGGATGGCCCACGAGGTCTCTTCCAACTCTATGATTCTAAGTGACATGAAAACTCTCAAGAGAATCCAAAGCCGTTTCTATAGCAGGATTAAGCCATTTTGTGTCTGGGTCACTTCCCTCCCACCCTGTTTTCACTCCCACACACTACAAATCTAAAGGTCCCATTTTTTCCTGTTGTCCTTCTCAGAATGGCCAAGGGGAGAAAAATGGCATCACGAGATTCTTGGAGTTGTTCGACCTTGGAGCCGATCACCAATCAACTCCCTTTTGCAGCTGCAACCATAAATCTAACAGGCATGGATTCAAAAAAAATCTTAGGTAATGGGAGTATCCAGCAGCCCTCTAAATGCAAGCAAAGACCAGCATGGTTAAAGCATAACAACACCTACCATTCAGTGCCATGTGCATAGTTAATTCAAGAAAGCATAGGCAATGAATGAAGAATAAACATGGCAGGAATCATGCTCTTTTGGAAAACCAAAAATCTCCAAAGTCTTTTGGAAACATGTCCCTTTGGGAGATTAATTGGCATTCACACTACCTGGAATAATCATAACTTTTTGGAAAGTATAATCTTGTTAGAAGCCGTAACATTTTGGAAAGGCTTCATACATCAACCTTACTGCTTCTGATGCAAACAGACTCATACTCTAACTGACATCAACCTTCCTAAGAAGAGTTAAAATCCACTTGAGTCAATCTTCTCCTTAGTGGTAAATATCCACTAGCATCCATGCAAGGCAAATCAGGTTGCTCGGCTGTTAGACTGATATCCCTGGTTTCCTCTTTGAACTGTTAGGATCAAAGAAATGACAATGCATAAAATATATAGCAGACATTCAGAAGTGTTATTTCTGTTGCCCAAAAAGAACATCTAATCTCCCATAAAACATATTGCCTATTGGTTTCGTGTTAACTAACACTCTCTTCAGTCTAATAAATTACCGAACATTGACTTAATATAAACTGACTACTCACTGCAGCATACTAACTATACTCAACTAGCTCACACATCAGTTGTACTGCTTCTGAGGTAAACTATGTATTTCTTCTGATGTAAACAGACTCATACTCCAACAGACATCAACTGACCTAACTGACTTCTGATTGAAATGCATTCTAAAATGGAGTCTCACTCCGAACATTCTCAGATCTGGGTCACATGATCTGTAGCCCCTCCCACAATTTCAAACAACATAGAGTTACGGGGGAAACTGCATACCAATATATTCATACGATAAACAATCTCAATTATATACACAACAAATAACTAGTACAGGAGGCATGTAGAAGGTTGCTATTTCCAACATGCTCACCCATCATGATGCCATGGGTTAGGAGGGAGGAGGAAAAATGAAAGCTCAGGGATAGCAGAACTATGCTAGACTTCCTATTTGGACTACTGCACTCTTTGTGGGACTGCCTTTGAAGACCATTGCACAGCTAGCTGTCAGGATCCAGGTCTCTGCTGGTATGCAGGCAGAGGTGAACCAAAAACAACACCCAGCTTAATGTTCAAGGTTCAAAAAACCAAAGCAAAGTCCTCCTTCCAAAGATCAAGCCAAAAGTCCAGAGTTCAAGGGTGATCCAAAATATGTAGTCAAGAGTCAGTCCAGGGATTCAAAGGACATCAAGGTTCCACACAAGATACAGCAGTAACAGGATTCTCAACAGGATTCAAGGATCTTCAAGATACAAGGTTCCAAGAGTTCCTGAGACAGGTCAGGATATCACAATCCACACAACCTGGGGGGAAAACCACCAGCATCCACAGCCAAGTATGGCAGATACTTTTCTCCCCAAAGAGAAATCTCTAGGCTAGCACTTTTTATGCAGGTAATCACAGCTGCATCCTATTTTAAAAGCATCTTCCTGGTGGCCTTCGGGAGCCCCCGGTGGCACAGTGGGTTAAACCCTTGTGCTGCAGGACTGAAGACCAACAGGTTGCAGGTTCGAATTTGATAAGAGTGTGGATGAGCTCCCTCTGTCAGCTCCAGCTCCCCACGCGGGGACATGAGAGAAGCCTCCCACAAGGGTAAAACATCAAAAAATCCGGGCATCCCCTGGGCAACGTCTTTGCAGACGGCCAATTCTCTCACACCAGAAGCGACTTGAAGTTTCTCAAGTTGTTCCTGACACACACAAAAAATCTTCTAGTTCAACCCTGCCAGTATAAGAGAGGAAAGCAGGGCAATAATGATAACAACACCACCAACAACAACAGGCTAGCCCAGGACAGTAAACTAGCACAAAATACAGAAAATAGACTTCTGATTGAAGCGTCATCCAGAAACAATGGAACCCCAGCTTTTGAAGAAGTTGCATTCAAATGATTCCAATCTGAATTCAAGGTGCTGGTGGTAAAGTTCTAAAACCTTCAGGCCTCTTATCGATTTTATTCAATTGAGCCACCTACAGACCCACTGCCAAGACACTACACTTGGAGGACCATCATCCTCAGGCTACAAGGAATCACCTAAGTAAGTAAATGCATATTACTGTTCACATTATTTTAAATGGTTTTCACTGAGCGTCCAAGTGTCTTCAGGGTTAAATGGTTACCAGGAGCTAAAAATGTTAACTTTTAAAAACTTTTAAACATAATTCTTGTTTTTAAGTTGGTCTAAATTTAATGGTTCCGGCCCAGTTTACTTGTCTGAACGTATATCCCTCTATAACCCACCTCGGAGTTTACGATCGTCCGGGGAGACCCTGTTCCCGATCCCGCCACCCTCGCAAGCACGACTGACGGAGATGAGAGACAGGGCCTTCTCAGTAGTGGCCACCCATCTGTGGAATGCACTCCCCAGTGAAATCAGGGCGACTCCATCTCTCCTCTCCTTCAGAAAGAAAACTCAAGTCTTGACCTTGGGACCAAGAATTCAGGCAGCTGGCTGAGCAACAACTGTAATGACTCGTGAGAATTGTCAGTGAATAGACCTTGGATTGGAACTCTGGACTATGATTTGGATTTGTGGACTCAGACTTGGTTGTGTTAGCATTTTAAGAGCCATTATTTTTAATGTATTTTAAATATATTTTAATGTATTTTTTTACTGTTGTTGACCTGTTTATGTTAATTGCTGTGCTGTAATTGTTCTTTGTCGGCATCTAATGATTGCCAATTGTAAGCTGTCCTGAGTCCCCCTTCAGGGGTTGAGAAGGACGGGATATAAATGTTTTATAAATATAAAACTATAAAATATAAATGTTTTATAAATGCCCTGAACGGTTCTGGACCAGCTTACCTATCCGAATGTATCTCTCCTTATGAACCATCTAGGACATAAGATGGTCTGGGGAGGCCCTGCTCTTGATTCCGCCTTCCTCGCAGATGCGTTTGGCGGGGACGAGAGACAGGGCCTTCTCAGTGGTGGCCCCTCAGCTATGGAACGCCCTCCCCAGGGATATAAGATGGGCTCCCTCCCTTCTAACATTCTGCAAAATGGTTAAGACCTGGCTCTTGGAGCAAGCTTTTTCTACTGGAGCATAATTAGATGTAAACGAATATATGGAATGACTGACGATGCAACTGGACAACGATTTTAGTAAGGAGATGCCGAGGATCTCGTTTTTACAGATATATTTGCTTTTCATATTACATTTTAAATGTTGAATTGTTTAAAATTGTTTTAACTGTATTTTGATATTTGTTATTGCATCGAATCGCTGCTAACTGTGAACCGCCTTGAGTCGCCTCTGGCTGAGAAAGGCGGTATACAAACGCAATCAATCAATAAATAAATAAAATAAACTGACTGTGGTGCACATTGCCTTGAGATCTTGGGATATAGAGGCAGAGCTCCATGTTCTAATCAGTAAATCAATGAAATAGTACTGACCTGGAGTTTCCCTACTCCCCCTTTATGGGGGACTGAAGGGAGGCAAGTATGCCTGGAATTAGAAGGGGAGGGGAGGGAGGGAGGAAGGAAGGAAGAATGCCAACAATAGGACTCTGAGCTTCCATGCGCTTCCATGCGTGGGAGGGGAAGACAGCCTAGTTTTATCCACTAGGCTTGCCGGAGTGAAAAATAGAGTGGCTTGTTGTTTGGAACTGCAGTCAAAACGACTCTGACTTATGGTGATCCGAAGAATACTTTAAAGCAGTGGTTCCCAGCCTGTGGTCCGTCAACCGTATGATCCGCAGGCTCACCATTACTACACGAATCAAGGAACATGAAAGGCACTGCAAACTACTTCAACCAGAGAAGTCAGCCATAGCAGAGCACCTG